TTGCCAATAATTTATACATTTGTGGTAAACACTTTTGAGAGAAGTTGTTATTATTCAAACAAAAGACTTAAACCCGGCTCTGTTCCTACTTTGTTCCTCCATGGTTCCAAGTCACCGCTACCTGTTCCTACTTCTTCAAGCTACCCAACAAGCACTAAACGTGATCCAGAATGCAGCTTCATAATTCCTGAGATACATTCCGATAACAATGTAAACACCTCAAAAAAAAATGTTCCTACTGCATATCCCTTTGAAGACCATCCACGCCCATGGCGTTGTGACTTTGGCACCGGTACCGAAATTTTACTTCTTTTTCACGTAAAAACCGAAATACATGATGCCAAATTGTGTCAAAAAGTCAGACCATGACAGACATTTAGCCGACATTACAGATTCCTTTCCCTCCCGACGTATTCGCCCTCACATGTCACATTTAAGGGATTGGAGAGACTTTAATAGTGAATCAACGAAGATGACGGTTCGAACGTTAGCTTTTGGTCACGTGTGTAAAAAGATACATGAATCCAACTATAGTTAAGCCTAGGATAAAAACTGAAATCACTGAATTATTAATCAAGACAGCACGATCTAACTTGTCAAACGCTTTTGAGATATCCAAATAAATGACATCAGTTTGACAACCTTCATATCTATGACCTTCATCAATGGAATCAGCAATAAACTGAGTAGTGCAGAAAATATTTGTGGTTGTAGATCTGCCATGCATAGAACCATGTTAGTTAATATTAATCTGAAAATAACGTTGGTCGTAAACTAAGAACTTGAATATTTTGGAAAAATTATTGATGATGGATTATGATGGATTGGATTAATTTTAGATATGTTCTGAATATTATGAAAAATTCCAGAACGAAAGCATAAATTGAATATGGATTTTGAAAACATGATCAGAACTCACCTCCGTCATTGTAATATTGTTAGTAAAGCTTCCTCATGACTCATTCAACAGCTACTATCATCATTCTATGATATTAAATGTTGACTGAAAATATTTGGCAAAAGAGTGCTATACAGGGTGTCCCAGAATTCGCGCCATTCCCGTGAATGACATGTTCCCTGTCCCGAACTGTGCCGTAATTCGCAAAAAGAATTGTCCAGGCTTTAACCGTGTGAGAACTGGAAGGCGATTAAGTTGACCAATAGAGAGGCTGCTTTTATATCCGAACGTTTCTATGTTCAAAGTTACCTATGCCAAGAACAAAAAATCGGGTAATACTAAAGTTGAATGAATTTTTTCCGAATCCCCCTCCGTCAACAAAAGGAAACAGAAGTGTGGTTATAAATTTAATCATTTTGACAATTGTTTGTCATAAACTGTCACGAAGTTCATCACTGACCTGAAGAGATGCTTCTGCGCCAAAGATGACTGATTAATATACACAGAGACGTCAAGGTTTACTTTAAGGCAAGTAGCATGGGACAGAAGTTATTTCTGCTGCCATTCTAGTTAAATTGTGTTTAACTGGGCTGTACATGTCATAAGAGAAGCTGTTTCATTTCATCGTAGGCAAGTAATACATTTGTTACTATTCTACATAGTGTAGATACCGAAGAGCAGGTATTAGAAGTCATTTTCTTAGAGCCCCGTGAATAATGTGTTGTTCTTTTTAACGAAAATTAGTACATTTTCAGAATTCACTATGCATCATATGCCTGATATTAAGTTTATCGTTATTTCTAAAAAAGAGTACCACATGTCCATTCAAAGAACGTTATTAAGTGTACTAAAACATAAATATCGCTTTTGATTAATCGGTGCTTATGATTTTCAATAAACAGTATCAATTTTTACTGAACAGCTTTGTTGCTGATACCTAATCTAAGCAACGAAAAAAGAGACGAGATTCCACTTCTCTGGTGTATTAAGATCATAGGTATGTGCTGTGGTGTCAATCATGTGGGGGAGATACTGAAAACTGAGACTTATTCAAGAATAATATTGATGTTGCACATGATGATTCAAAACAGTTTCTTTAAAGTTGTGAGTACTTTCTAGAGATTGAAAAGATACGAATAAAAATTATAACAAAAATCGTTTAGTTGCAATTTTTGTTAAGAACAATACAAACTATAAACAAATCAGTACCAATACCACTAAGTTATTGATGTCTTATTCATACTAGTATAAAGAATATTTGGAAATGATGTTAATTTATGGAGAATGTAAGGCGATCAGGTAACACAAACGGCCCCACTTAAAAAAACAGGAGTTTAGTGATAATTTTATCAGATGCATTAAAATTTTTACCACAGTAGTACCATTGATATATTCCAGCCCATAGATTAATAGTAAATCGCTCCTGATATGCTCTCACCCTAGTGAGATGTGGATTTGCGTGTGCCCAGAAATGCCAATTGTGTGCATTAAACATTCCTTCTCGGGAAAATGAACATTCGTCGGTGAAAAGAATGCGCAGTGTAAAATCAGGGTTTAGTTCATTTTGTCGCAGTAACCATTGAGCAAAATGTACTCGTCGCGGGTAGTCGGTTGGTCGCAGATGCTGCACTCTCGTGTAATGGTAAGGATGCAGTCTTCTCTCTTGAAGAATACGATGAGTGGTCGATCTTGAGCATCCACTCATTTGCGCTACGTAGAGGACACTTCTCCTAGGATCCGCTTCCATGTTTTCTAACACTTGCTCTTCAGCACCTACACGTACATTCCGTAGAGCCCCAGCACGGCCTTTCCGACTAGGTTGAAAAGATCCATCTTCTCTTGCTCGATGTAACAATCGGTGAAACACATGTTGGTCTAGGTGCCGACGATTATTCACGGGGCTCTAAGAAAATGACTTCTAATACCTGCTCTTCGGTAGCTACTCTATGTAGAATAGTAATAAATGTATTATTTGCCTACGATGAAATGAAACAGATTCTCTTATGACATGTATAGTCCAGTTAAACACAATTTAACTAGAATGGCAGCAGAAATAACTTCTGTCCCATGCTACTTGCCTTAAAGTAAACCTTGATGTCTCTGTGTACATTAATCAGTCATCTTTGGCGCAGAAGCGTCTCTTCAGGTCAGTGATAAACTTCGTGACAGTTTATGACAAACAATTGTCAAAATGATTAAATTTATAACCACATTTCTGTTTCCTTTTGTTGACGGAGGGGGATTCGGAAAAAAATTCATTCAACTTTAGTATTACCCGATTTTTTGTTCTTGGCATAGGTAACTTTGAACATAGAAACGTTCGGAGATAAAAGCAGCCTCTCTATTGGTCAACTTAATCGCCTTCCAGTTCTCACACGGTTAAATCCTGGACAATTCTTTTTGCGAATTACGGCACAGTTCGGGACAGGGAACATGTCATTCACGGGAATGGCGCGAATTCTGGGACACCCTGTATTATGTGCCTCAGACACATTATTTTCACCAAATGTCATGCTTGAACGTAAGTTTGTGTCACGCCCTTTAATGTACTTACTGAAAGAATTTTTTTGGGTCTTTGCAAATATCTCTCTTGTCTTGCGAAAACAACTCATCTTAGGAAATTTAAAAGTTTTTTCAAAATTTTTACGAACACTAGAGTAATAATCTTGTGTTGCAGTTTTCTTTTTTCCAAGTACATAGTTTTGTCAAAATGATTCTATTGTTATTTCAAAAAACTAAAGTGACACATTTTTTTGACAGTTTTTTGTATAACGTACGGTTACGAACATATTGTGGGTTTAAAGTCTTCTCAACACACCGATACAGACCCTTTCTAAGACAAATAATTTGATAATAAACATCATTTTTAGTAGGTAATACTTTTCGTGTATCAATAACATAATTATTTTATTTTTTCAAATTACTTCACATTTTTGACAAAATAGCGGCTTGTCGAAGACTATTAATTTCTTAGAAAAATGTGTAATGAAACACTAGAGCTTCCATTAAAAATATGAACGATGTTATTATTCCCACTTCTATGTGGTTCATGTAAAAGTAGACTGACCTGTTTGACCGTTTTCTTGTCAAATTTCCTTGCTCAAACTTTATCGATTTATCTTATACATACTTTACACTTATGAATTATGATGTGTGTTATTTCCTGCTAAATTTTATGAAATAAATGTCCTACCATATTATGTTTGTAAAATTGAGAAATGCGTACAACATATAAGTAATTAGACAAGCATAATTATGCCTTTATACCGATTTGCTAGTATCTATTTCTGTGATACGGTAGTAGTGAGAGAAAGTTATTTAATTGTCTCGCCTTTAGAATTTACTAAATCAGAGTTAAAAGGAACAGAGTTACGACAATAAATTTTGTGTTTGTTTGGGAGTATCTGTAAAATTCTGCATATTACTTGATTTATATGTTTCCGTTCACATAAAAGTCTGAAGGCCGTTGGAAAAACAACCGAAATGACACGTTTCTTATTCACACAGATTTATTTATGAATTATGATTGTAGATAGACTTGCCACTATTCTTACGTCAACTGAAGGAAGCAATGTATTGTAGACACAATCATTTAAGTAAGATGTGAAACAATTTAAAAATACTTAGCTAATATTGTGACAAAATGTATGCAACAAACGTATCAAATATGTTACTTCCCTTCTGTTGCAACAACAGATTTTACCCCTAGCTTTAATAACCTAATGTTTTAAATATCGCGTGGTTAAATAGAAAAAGACTACTGCAAAAGCGACTTGAACACGCTTTTAGAAAGCGTGTTCCACCACGTGTTGAAGACGTAGTGGCACCGTCGACAGAAAGTAATCAAACTCTAGGTGAATTATGTGGAAGATAACAGATGCGCGAACTTAATAAATCTGTTAACATTGTTCGTCTAGCAATAATAGTCTGTCTTGTATTTAATTTTCCCGTGAATTCGTTGTAAAAAATATTTTTACTTAAAATTTTATCCTGCTTCTGTTCGAATGTTACGAAAAGAGGCAGACAGCTTGTATGCGTACAGACGATAACTCAAAATATGTGGAACACAATGCGGAGAAAATATAAATGGTTGGTTACTTACACCTCACGTTTAAAAAGTATCCTATGCTGGAAAACTTTCCCAGCCTATGACGAGCTATGCATTTATACCAGCCGCTGTGCTCCCTGCGAATTTCCGTAAAGTTCAAGAAGCCGTCCGGTGTTTGCTGAACGGGAGGACTGGAGTCGTCTTTCTGCCAGATGGGCAATGCTTTGGGGTTGGCGTCGACATCACATTTCAAAGATACAGGCATTCCCTCTCGGATGGGAAAACCGAAACCCGGTTCGCGGGATATCGCGAACGAGGGGGTGTCTGAAATATAAAACAACCAATGATTTATTGGACTGCAAATTTTCCTCGCTGAAATTTCACAGCAAGGTGAAAATATAAAAGATCATGTAATGCTTAAAATTTTTTACTTCGCAAATTACATACAGGTAAGAAAACAACTGCAAAAGTGTAATTTCGTTTCAAGTATATTTTTTTAATCTTAAGTTTTTTTTAACCTTTGTGGCTTTTAGAACATGCAGATGTCGGTTTTCTCTTTTCAGCTGGATGTTTGTGGTTGATCTGTTGGTAGGTTTCTGAAAATTTGTTGGGAAGGCAATCTACGAAGTTACCGACTTAGTTTGAAATTTTAGTTATATTTTAACGTAATCAGAAGAAAGTAAACGCTAACCAAATTTGTCTGCATAAATTAGTTTTACTGTTGGGGCTGTAACTAAGGAAAACATTTTAGCAGGATCATTTTGATAAACTATATAATTTCATGTTTTCTTTCCCAGCTGTCTGTCTGGAGCATTTACGTCCGTTGAAAACTTAGCAGACAGATGCTCTCATAATATATAAAACTGATCAATATGAAGGTTTGAGCGTGCTTTAACTCAATGGTGAGTGAGATAAAAATATTGACCAATTTAACCAATTCAAGAAATTTCTAACACCGTCTTAAATTATTTTTAATTGAATCTCGCTTAAAATACTGCTTTATTTGTGATTTAATAATGTGGTCCTTCATTTAAATTTACACGTATAAAACTATCCTCAAAAAAAATTGGACTATCAACATTTTATTTCGACACGAAATTATGGAGATTTTAAATTTTTGATGAGCCACGAACATTAATTTGCGGATTCGGTTCATCTCTTTCGGCAAATTGATGACGTCATCTTAAAAAAAAGATCTTCATTGACGAATTTGGTGTGTATTCGTTGTACTTTTGGGGTGACTCGGGTTCTGTATTAAGAATTTTTTGCGACGAGTGGAAACAATGGATAGCGCTGGACAGAAAACAAATCTTTTATTCATACAATAATTACTATTTTCCCGTATTGAATTTTTAACGACGTATATTTTGCTTCAAATGATGGTTAGAAATAACAAATTAGAGGTCTGCAGGATAGTCATTTATCAGTTATGTCTGAGCAAAGTGTTGTTAATGTTTAATATTTAAGTGTGCGGTGCTGCGTATAACCAAGAGGATGCAGTTATGGATTTTCCATAAATCCTGAATTCTCTATACCAATATCACATTTCATTTCCAATAACTAAAGCCTACGTACGGAGGATGTTAGAGGGCGCTGAATCCCTTATATATGAAATATGAACTGCAAAAAAGATCAATGTGGGATTGGGGAAAAGAGACGTCGGCTCAGACAGATGACATATCCTCGTAGTGTGATACTCAATTGTTATCAAGAAGATGAATGATAGTGCAGTCATGTGTTTTGCTTTGAAAATTGAAGAGCTACTGCTTTAATTTTTGACTTTTAGAAGGTAGTTTGTTGGCTGGTTAGTTTATATAAGTTATGAGAAGGACGACTAGATGCAATCTAATTGTATAAATATGTTTATAATTTTAAGGACGAGTAGCAAATTAGTTTTTTATAAGTTGCATAACTAGTATAACATCAGAGCAATAACTTACACCAAAGTGCAAATTTATTTCTGATTTCTGGGAAACTTATTATGTCGTTGGAGCACGGAATAAACTAACATGCAGAACAGAATCCTTTTATTACTTATTATTAGTTTCTTGGCGGTTCTGTTGGTGTATTTTTTTGCTGTTCTTGGACATCAAAAACTTTGTGTGACCATGTGTTATATTTTCATTATTTAAGACATTCTGCCTTTGCAAACTGTTTTTAACTCTATCAAATTTATTAGTGATTTAAATCGGGATTTTTACTAGAAACTAAAAAGTGTCAAAGAAACAGTAACAATTATGATTTTTCATAAGATACGATGCATAAACAATTTGTTAAAAAAATCGCCATGCCCTTATTATATCCAGTAAGCAAAGAAAGATCTATCCATTAAAAGCTCAAATATTTCGCAAAAATTTGCTTACAGAATCGTCAGCAAAAGATGTAGTTCTCTGAACAAATTTATTAATAATCGTCAAGACAAATCACCTAAAAATTCGAATTCAGGTATCTACCTGTTGAATTGTGGAGATTGTTCCCTAGTGTATGTCGACCAATCAGGTAGAAAATTCGAAGAAAGAATATCCCACAATAACAAATGTCATATCAACTCTAAATCAAGTTTCACACATGCTAATCATTTAATAGAAGAAAAACACAATATTAAAATTTTATACATTGAAAACTCAGGCCTAAAGTTAATTGCTTTTTTAAATGTGGAGAAATTAATAGAAGAAAGATTAAATTAATTTTTTGTAAATTATCAAACCGAAATGAGCATTTTACCTTTGTTAAATGTAACATGTAATACTGCCACTTTAAATTTCGCCAGGAGACATTTATAACGTGCCTGAGCCATATATTGCCATGTTCTTAATACTGTCAGGACTAAAAATCAACTAAATTGTAAGTAATTGGAATATATGTCGCTGTAAGTTGTCTTTATAGGCGGCAGCTATTACTCACGTAATAATCCTTTACTGCTAAAATATATTAATGAAACGATAGACCTATTTCGGCTATTGAAATAATTAATTGTAAAAATTCGCAGGAACTTGAAAACATTATTTTACACTACGTAAAAGCAAAAAAACTGTGCTGCTGCACTATAACATAACCTTTTTCATGTCATATTACGATATATTCGTGTTTTTAACCTAACCTAACAAACGAGGGCTGCATATTTTATAAAGTTTAGTAACTACACTGTGCCTTATATTGCTATCTGTTGTGTTCCTATTATTGCTCGTGGTAATCTTTGGAAGAATCATGCTAATATTAAGAATAATGAGAAAAATAATGCCTGGAAGTTTATGCCGACAGAACTTAAATTGCGCCTGCAGGCTAACAAATCCCGCTTCTTTGAAAAATTATAAAATTAGATTTTGCGATGTTTGTTTTATGATAACCTCTATGAAGTAAAAACTAGCGGCATAAATAACATCCCCACAGCCTCTGCGCGTAAGGGCACAAATTGCAAGGGAATGCTTAAACTGCACAAGTGCGGATAATGTAAAATATATTAAAGCCAAAAAATGCCCTCTCAGCAATAATAACAAGCTTTAACTTTAAGTGTTTATGTTAGAAGAAGAAATTTACTTGATTTGAATGAGTTTGTCACCTGAAAACAGAGGAGTAAAAATATTAATTAAGCCACAATCGAACAGAATGTTCTGAATATTATTATTTACTACTTTTACTAACTAAAGACGTGTATAGTTTCATATTTTAGAGCAAATGGGGTTCCTAACATAGTATAGTCGTTTCGGAGATTACGTGTCTAATAAAGCCGGAAACGACAGATCACTTTTTTTGTACTCTATAGGGGTCGTGAATCGTCGAGAAAACATGAAACTGGCAAGTCGCCCGATGGATCGATTACTATACTTCCTTAGCTTACGCTCGGGAAATAAAAATATTAAAATACTCAAGACAGGAGATGAATGAAATTTTTTTGATTATTCAATAAACTAAATAAAAACACTTCATTATATTTTATATTTGGAGCACTACGTTCCAAATGTTGTATTCTACATATAACAATTTATAAAAACACTGTCGGCATTTTTTTAATATCATTGTTATTTAAAGAAAGAACACTTACTAATTAATCTATTGACGAAATATTAACTTTCAGATTCTAAAACTTAGGTACCTTATATATAAACATACAATATACGCGTGGCAGTGTTCTGCAAGTAAAAATATTTTAAACGTAGTTATTTTATTAAAACTAAGTCTTAAAACACTTTTATTTTCTAATTAACAAATTGAAATTGTCGAAGCTAATCTATTTCAATATATTGTCAAAGTTATAAATCGTATGACACAGTGAATGATTAAATTCTTTCTATGTGGCGCTGTTACACTGAAAAAAATCAAATTACAACGCCTTTAACTTTCGCATGCAGCTGACTGATTTTTATTTGTTTTATGTTAGAATATATTAAGTAAATGTTCCGTTTCCATCTGCCTGTCGTCTATCTATTTGTAGATCTTCTGTCGTTTGTGATCTGTGGGCAATTTATTAGACACGTGATCTCGGAAATTAGACAGATTGTTGTGAAATTTTATTGTATTGTAAGAATGCCATATAGAGGAGAAAACAGTAACCGAGATTTGTCCTTCGTACCAAAAATGTGATGATGTCTTCCCAAAATTTTATCGAATAAGTTATATCTAAAATGCTAACTGCTCTGAGATTGTGTTCACCCCTTAAAGTGGTAAATTGCTAACCAGAGAAAAATTTAATGAATATTTAAACACTCATTTTAGGTTACCTTTAAATATAACGGGTGATCAAAAAGTTTTCAGATTAGAGTTGGCCATGGAAATATTTGTCATGTCTTTTACAGTTTAATCAAAGATATCATGACAAATATTTTCATGGCCAACTCTAATCTGAAAACTTTTTGATCACCCTTTAATAACCACTAATTGTAGACGTATTTAGAATCTAAAAAAGTTAATTGTAGTGTTATAATTTTCAAAATTTGTTTAAAGTAACAAGAATCTCCTCAAAGCGTAAGCACTAAGCAGGTACAACAGAGTATTTTCTTCATAACACACGTATCCTTTAAAAGTTGGGAGTTTAAAATACCTGCTTTTCTTTTTGCTTTTTGTTTTTCGGAAAGGCATCCTTGACGGATCATGTTTATACAACAAACGTAGAAAAATAATAAGATGGTAAAAGTCGACAACATCAGTATTTACAAAGCAAGCTTATTTTATTCGTAAACAAATTTAATATTTGCGAACCCTAAATTCGACGTTCCCAACTTCTTAAAGTTAAATCTGAGCTTCTCCAATTTTACCGTCGGATATCAGATAATCAAATATTGAGGCCATATTCTGATTAGATTGAAAGGCACGTTATGCTAACAATT